AGAGTTCCGTCTTTAGTGGCAGCTGGGGTGCTCTTCTCTTCTCTTTGTTTTGCCGGTSCTGCTTGGGTGGCCGGAGTCTCACTTGAGTCTGTCTTTTCACCACTTTTGTTTATCTGCTTTGGAGTGGCGGTGAGTATGGGGGATCTGAGTATCCTGCTGCTTCTGCGGAAGACCGTTCCGTACTGCGATAACATACCTTCTAGATGAATGCCATACATCAAGGATATAATGACAAAAGCACMTACGTGTGCTTGCAATCCTAACACACGTGTGACACCTTTGGCTTTATAAGCCTTACATGATTTTGCTTTTAATGCATTAATAAAGGCACGAAAAATTATAACAGATATAATATACATTTTGCATTAGGAAAGAAGTTTTCTAGTCGCTTGAGTGAATTAGAGGAGTGACATGTCGTGTGCATTTAGTTCAGAAGAATCTTTAATCGCAATGTATAGCCCTCAACTTTGTCGCAATCAAGCTTTTAGATATATTTACACATGTATGTATCTGTGTTTGGAGTGTAATTATGCAGGTGTGTCTGTGTTTGGTTGTATAAATTTTTAGCTCATCTAAAAATAAAAAAATGGTTCGCTATTCACAACTCCTTATATATATTTAATGAAACGCGACCTTTTTGACATCATACTGAAATATTAACTCTTTACTTTTCCTCATATTTATTTGCAGCCTTTACGCGCCCTTTTAACTAATAAATCGTGTCTTCCGTGCATCCAAAAAAAGCTGTTCATTTGCTATTGAAATTTATGTATGTCTTCCGATCCAATGGATGACGAGCAAGTGATTCGGAAAATGAATAAATGGCGAAAACCTTCAGTTGATTATGCAGCGACCAAACGTTGGAGTAAAACGTCTCGTCAGCTGCCTCTTGCCAGCACAAGACCGACTGATATTATTGTATTACTCGAGATAGCATTTCTGGTCGTCATCGCTACAGCCAGTTCAGGTGAGTGGAATAAAAGCAAATATGTTTATTTTTGTTTATGTGTGCATTTTAAGCCATAAGTAGATCTATACTTACAGTAGGTAGAAAAATAAGTTATCAAAGTGAAATATAAATCTGCAAAGTGAATAAAATTTAAAAGTGCTCAAATCAAATATTTTTTTTTTTTTTTTTATTAAGACCATATTTGAAAGTATGTAATTAAAGTAATTTGAAAACAAAAGAGAAGTTCATTGCTTTTATAAAAAGGAAACATATACACATACTGTAAATTACACGTAGCAAAAATAAGTTATTAAATTTTTTAATATTCACAAAGTCCATAATTACGTCTTGCTTCTTGACCCAATCGTTATTTAATGAAGTTGGCAAGCTTCAAACACTAATTTTGAGGAAAATTATTCCAAATGTTATAGATGCAGATCTTCAAATCAACCAGGTTTTACATCAAGGATTGCCCAAGCTTTTTCAAATGATGACAAGTCAGGGCTTTGAGGATGCCTTTTCGAAGCACTCACATTTTAATTTTTTACATCTTCTATGGTGATTTTTGTAGAATGAATGGGCGCGTTGTCCTGTTGCAGAAGGTCCAATTATTCGGTGACCATCGGGGATGGCGTGCTCCTTTAAAATATTTAAACAAAACTGCAGCAGTAACTTTTCCTTCCAGGAATAACGAAGACAAATCATCGATTCATCAGTCCACAACATTTTATGCCAAAAATCAGTAATGTAACACTGCGTGTTACTATCTTTATGAAAATTAATTATGGTTATGCATTCCTCATTCGTTAATTGTTTAAAATTCACCATTTTCAAATTTTTTTTTTAATTTACCATAAAAAAATCGCCTTAATATTTAAAAAAAAATAAATTAAAAAAAAAGAAAACTTTAGTTATCACTTCAATTTCAAAATTTATAAAATAAACAAGTCTTGCACATTTAATGCTTTTTTGTAATTTATTTTCAAGTTTTAATATGAAAAACACTAATTACTGCACTTGATAACTTACTTTTTCCACGCTTTGTCACTGAGCATTTCTACAGAAGGCCATGAAAATTTCTTACCAGATAAGGGGTTGCCACTAAAATCATCAATTGTTGCACCTTGATAACGGTACTTTCCGAACATATACAAAAAAAAAAAAAAAAATATATATACTCAAATAAGCGAAAAAGTATCGAGCGTTTTAAACAACGCTGGCTGTTTTCATAACTTATTTTTTCTACCTACTGTACATCCTTACATACAAACAGAGCATATTGTACACATGCACGAATGAGAAAAACTAGCAGGAATGCAATTCACATTGAAGTGGATAATTAAAATTTATGTACTTGTGGTAAGCAGCTACATAAAAAAACATTATGGTGGTACTCAATCGGAAAATTTACTTCTTAAGAAGTTTCCAAAAATAAAAATGTGCCTACGCCTTTCAATTCTAATTGTTTATGCTTAAGATTCGTCTATAAAGGCTCCTGACTTAGCAACTGGTCTGCTATTTATTAGCCGAAAATGTTAGTGTGATCGGAAACCTAAGTGATGGATAAGTCGAGTTAATTTTGCAAAGAGATTAAAGTCTTCCTCGCTGCAGTTGCTCTTTGGTAACGACAAAGGTAGAGTGTCGCTATCTGTGTAAATTACCATTTTCTGTATCCTCTCGTAGTTGTTCAGTAGGACTGAACAAGTCTTCTCTATGCTCAATACTTCTGCTTGGAAGATACTAGGTGAGTTTGATAGACACCCTACCCGCTGTCCATTTTGGGTACGTCGGTATATATTAGGCACTAATCTTCTCCCCTATTAAACCTTTTATCTATCCACGTCTAGACACTACTCACTATTCTCTAGTAATTACTGAGTTCCAACCTTGGGAGGATATGGTCTAATTTAATTGGATTATTTTCGTGCTGATTCAGAATTTTGCTATGTCCAAAACTCTTCCTGTTCCAGCCATTAATATCCTTAATTTTTAGAGAAAAACATTTCCGTATGCGAATAGCGATGAGCAGTTGTAACAGGAGCTTATTAAGCGCATAATTTGGACTTCGGTATTCGTCGTTATCAATGCGCAAAAGACCATAAATCTTCCGTAAAGCCTTTGTCACTCCCACTCTCATAAGATCGATCAGATGATGTAATTGTCCATGCCCAGCACAAAATAGCAGGATGGAAATGATGAGGTACTTTTAAAGTTTTGCCTTTGTTCGTGAAGAGAGGACTTTACCTGTTAATTGCCTACTCAGCCCAAAGTAGCAACTGTCTAAAATAACATGTGAGTCAAGTCCCTAATGCGACGACTGTTTGTTTGATGACAGGAGATATTTCGTCTTGCCCTCGTTCATTGCCAGACCCATTTGTGTTGCTTCCTCGTCCAGTCTGGAGAAATCAGAACTAACGGCGCGAGTATAAGAAGGATTATCCCACTGTAATTTGCGCAGATTGTCGGGTACCCCTTTTCTAGATTGGGCAAAGCAAACTTATGTTCCAATCAGAATCTGATGCAAAGACTTTTTAATTTCTTTGCCGTCGTATTTGACTATATCGGCCGGTAATCCATCGACCTCGCTGCTTACTTGCTTCTTCAGACGAATAATTGCTATTCGAACTTCTTCATTGTCGGGCAATCGTAGACGGTAAAATAAACATCGACTCCAACCATGATTTTATCGAGTGGGCTTATGTGTCTAAGAGCGCTATCGTATGTTCTTCTGTCTGGTTTCAAAATAAACATCACTTTGACTCTTTTTCTCCTTCTAAGTATATATGATAGGCGAATACTGGCCTTATAGATCCTTCAAGTCTTAAAACCATATGTTCTGCAGCATTATGAGAGTAATTCCAACTAGACCCTCCAATTTAAATGGTAAGAAGCTTTTAATAGCGTATTATCTTTTCTTGTTGTTGACTATGAGACCAGACTGCTTTACTCTGTTTGCAAATTTGTTTTGTTGAACACGCATTGTCGAGGATTGCTGACTACCAGAGAAATACGTGTTCATTAAAATCTCACGTGAGAGAGAGTAAGCAATGCCCTCTGACTTTTGAAAAGCAATAATCTTTGAGCAGCATCTTGCTCAGCTTAGCTGTCATTAATTTCTCGCGAATGTTGGATTCTCGGAGACCCTCCAATAACCAACTATCAAGCTATCTTTCTTCGTAGATCCTTTGATGATCTTGGACTTCCTCACACCCTGAAAATCGGTCAGATCTTACGAAAATGAATGTAGGTTTATCGACCCTAGTATATATATTTAGTATTTATTGGAAAAGAAACTCACATCTGTTGTTCGTACTAGAGCTTCTCCATAAGGTGTGTCTTGGGTTTGCTTCTATCCTAATGCGGTGTGTTTTCATTTATGAACATCTGTTAGGTGTGTAATTAGAATTCTTCTGTGCTGTAATTAGAATAAAGGAATGCACTTATATCTTTATCGATAAGAATTAGTTTAGCTTCATCCCTACATTATCTGTAGCACTTCTCGTGTACTGCAGCTTTATCTATGTACATCTTATAAAATTAGCTACCCGGAAATATGGTTGTTTTGCTGCTTTCAGTGCATAAGAAAGAGTTCCCAACACAAGGTCTCTTTCGGTTTATTAAGATGCTTTCTGAGGTGTGCTAAGTTTAGAAACGCTAACCGTCAAGAAGCCCAAGACATCCGATTTCCATCCAACATTCTGTACTGTAACTAGTGGCTACATCGTTTCCTGACTGGCGAGAAGATAGTCCTTATTGGATTTCGTGATTTTATTATATACATGTGTAATATCTGTCGAACTTGTAATGTTCGAAACTTTTTAGTTTAGTTTCTGCTTCATAAGCCAGCTTCAAATTACATTTGTGAATGAAATCCCATGATTTGCAACCCGTGTCAGATGTTATACAGGAAATATTAGGGTTGTTTATACAGAGTATGCAGTAGGAATATTAGGAGCCCCTATAAGAAATCCCAAAGGTAATGTAAAGTTGTTTTAATGGGTTAAAATCGCTTGCTGTTGGCAATTCAATTGTTCTCTGAATGGCTAACTTACCTCAAAAAAAAAAAAAAAAAAAAAAAAAAAAATCGTAGAATAATCTCATGAATATTGCAAGATAACTTGGGCATCTAAAAACTAAGTCGTTGGACATTAAATTACATTACTAGTACGGCTCGATTTCTTCCTTTTTTGCATCTTAAACTTAATTTATTGCAGTGTAATTCTTATTAACGAATCTTAATATACAGTAAATATATTATAGACAATTCAAAATCTAAAAACTACTAAATTTAAAATGAACTTGCCCTAGTTTGCATATACAAATACGAAGGTCCCAACGGTATAACAACTTAAATCATTGGATAATCGATCTTACTTCATGCGCATTTTTGCAGGCTGAGTGTAATACCACATGTTTTTTACTTAAAACATTGTACTTGTATAACACACATCAAGTTTGCTTTAATAATACTAGTAGTTTTGGCGAAACCATATGTTTGTTTGGTTCACCGGACGGAAAATATAGACTCTATGTTATGCATATTTGTGAGTCCAATCTTATATCTGCCACAATTTTTCCCTATCTGCATTTAGTACTCTGGAATTGTTAAGGAGTGTGCAAGCCTATGCTGGTCTAATTAGCATTGTTTTGTATAAAAAATTTAAGGATAAGAATTTCCATACAAAGGGTTAAGTTCAGAATCGAACTTCTACCTAACTAAACAATTTCATAGACTTTTAAATGTACACTCCAAACATATCGGAATGTAAAAGTTTCTTACAACAGTATTACTACTTCCCCAGTGGCAGTATCAATAAAGTAAAATCACAAACACATAACTGAAACTGTGAGCGTCATCCGCACCTAACCTCTCACTCTAGGAAATTATTGTCTGCTTAGTATCAACATAAGTGTAAAAAACTCAAACTCAATGGGCTGTGCAACTTTGCCATTAATATCAGCACTGTAACACTGGCCACTCCTGCTGTATTTCCTTGCTTTTTGTATCTGATTCCCTG